GAAAAAGGGCATTAAAGAAAAACTGAGGGGCCGGGCGCGGTGGCTCAAGCCTGTAATCCCAGCACTTTGGGAGGCCGAGACGGGCGGATCACGAGGTCAGGAGATCGAGACCATCCTGGCTAACACGGTGAAACCCCATCTCTACTGAAAAACACAAAAAACCAGCTGGGCGAGGTGGTGGGTGCCTGTAGTCCCAGCTACTCAGGAGGCTGAGGCAGGAGAATGGCATAAACCCGGGAGCCAGAGCTTGCAGTGAGCTGAGATCCGGCCACTGCACTCCAGCCTGGGCAATAGAGCGAGACTCTGTCTCAAAAAAAAAAAAAAAAAAGAAAAACTGAGGAAGGCCGGGGGCCGTGGTTCATGTATGTAATTTCCCTGCTTTGGGAGGCAGAGGCAGGAAGACCACTTGAAGCCGGGAGTTTGACACCGGCCTAGGCAACACAGCAAGATCCCATCTCTACAAAAAATTAGCCAGGTGTGGTGGTGTGCACCTGTAGTCCCAGCTACCCGGGAGGCTGATGTTATTAACACCTTACATTACTATGCTACATTTATCACAACTAATAAATAAATATTGATACATAATTATTAACCCAAGTCCACACTTTATTGAGATTTTCTGTTTTTCTTTTTGTTGTTGTTGTTTTCTTTTTGAGACAGGGTCTTGCTCTATCGCCCAGGCTGGAGGGCAGTGGCACAGTCATAGCTCCCTGCAACCTTGAACTCCTGGGCTCAAGCAATCCTCACACCTCAGCCTCCCAAAGTACTGGAATTACAAGTGTGAGCCACTGAGCTCAGCCTACCAATTTTTAAAATTTCAAGTTAAAGAATCAAATGTGAAGAGAGGAAAAGAAGGCAAAACACACACATGCACAAACCCTAGAAAATCTACCTAATTGGTTGTGTGATAGGAAAAAACAAAACAAAACAAAAAAACCTTTATAAGCACCTAAGTGAAGAAATCACAAAGAAAAAAAAGAAAAACAATAGATTTCTCTATATAAACATGTAAAACTTTAAAACATCAAGAATTACAAATACTAAAAGACAAGCAACCAGGAAAAATACTAAGCACACTTAAAAAACAAAACAAAACAAAAAAGTTAAGGCCAGGCATGGTAGCTCATGCCTGTAATCCCAGCACTTTGGGAGGCCGAGATGGGTGGACCACTTGAAGTCAGGAGTTTAAGACCAGCCTGGCCAACATGGTGAAACCCCGTCTCTACTAAAACTACAAAAATTAGCCGGACGTAGTGGAGTGCATCTGTAGTCCCAGCTACTCAGGAGGCTGAGGCAGGAGAATCGCTTGAACCTGGGAGGTGGAGGTTGCAGTGAGTGGAGATCACACCACTGCACTCCAGCCTGGGCAACAGAGCGAGACTCCATCTCAGAAAACAAAACAAAACAAAATAACATCATCAACATAAAGTCCTTATCCCAACTAAAACTAAAACCACTAAAACTCCCAGTGAAAAAATTTGCAAAGAAACTGACAGTTTACAAAACAAGAAATTCACACCAAAATTATCTAGTGAATGCTTGAAAGACATTGAACCTCACTAGCAATTGAAACAAGAAGGTATCATTTTCCATTTTTTAATTAGAAAAGAAATATTTTTATGTTAATTTCCAGTGTTGGGGGTGACTGCGCTGAAACAGCCCCCTGAAACGGTTCTGGTGGAAGTTCAATCTCCTGAAACATTCTGGAAAACCATTTGACGAGTCGTCCCCCGACTCACTGTGTTAAAAATGGCTAGGAATTCCACTTCGAGGAACTGAAGCCTACATAAAAACCAATCAAAGATGCAGACAAAGATTTTAACAAGAGAGTTTTTTAGTAACATTTTAATATAGAAAAACTGAAAACAATCTAAATTTTAGCACCAGATCTTGGTTCCTACTACTATTTTCCAAAAACAAAAAAAGGCACCAGGGTTCTTTTGAAACGATTAGCAAACTTCTAACTTTCCTACTCTGGGAACATACAACTTTTTAATTTAGAAACTGTAAAATTTCTGAAGCACGGATCTTAGTTTGTCTCCAAGCACGAACAGTCCAGAACTACCGCTCTTTGCCCTGCACCTGCCTCTTGGGGTTTAGGAGAGGGGTTTCCTTTAAGAAAACCCTCCCAGTGTGCAGCTCTGGGAGCTGGAACAAACAGCTACAACCCCTATTTCTCAAGCTCCTCTTCCACCAAAGGGGATTCTATTTGCTGATTCAAAAGGCACAGCCAGGCCTAAATCACAGCTCCAAACGCTGCTCAGAAGCCCTCGGTGGCTGTTCACAGCCCATTGAAAGAAAAGGAAATCCAAGTCCGCCAAGGCATCAATTAGCCCTGCAGTCATGGCTGCGTCCAATCTTGCCCCTCCTCACTTTCCCGCTCCACTCCTCCCATGCCCACCCAGCTCCCACACACACCTGTCCCTCCACATCAGCCCTCCTGTCCATCCCCCAGTCCTTACCCAGCCAGTTCCTGCTGTGTCCCCAGCACCTGGCATCTGCCAGGCAAACAGCCAAAACCCAGTAAACATTCATCAATGCTCTTCAAGCCCTGCTCACAGGCTGCCTCCTCAGGGGGGTCTTTCCTTAGTCCCCTTCCTTGCTTACTGGTACATGGCCAGGAGTTGGCACCTGAGCCACCACGTGTCACTTTCTATTCCCCACCTGGCCTGTCCCAGAGGACTACCAGCCCGAGGAATGGACCCTGCCCCCTTCACGCTGTGGGCCTCCCTGGGCTCTGCACAGGTCAAGGGCTTCTATGATGTTGAAGTCTCCCCGATGTCTGAACCTGGGGGTGTCACTCGGAAGCTAATTTGGGGAACCAGGATAGAGTTCTGGTTTTTCGTTTCATAGAGGATGGAGTAAGGGTGCTGAGCCTGGTGAAGGCTGCAGAACTGCATGCCAGCTCAGTGCCCAGAGAGGAGAGGGAAGGGCAGGGGTGGGAGGCGGGCTTCCTGAGGCTGGTGGCCACAGATGGGGCGGTGAGGACAGCCTCAGGAACCCTGGTCTGGGCTTCAGGACATGACATGTGGCTCCGAAAGGCTGCTATCCTGCCGGGCCACTGGAGCCACATATTTCAGAGACAAATGTGGGTTATGATTCAGGAATGATGCCACCCTGGCAGGTGGACCTTGGGGAAGTCTCATCAGTGTCCTGAGCCTCAGTGTCTCCAACTGTAAGATAAAGGGGTAGATTCGACGATCTCTAAGCTCCTTCAGTGTGATGTCTTCGGAAGCCCCAGAACAATTCAGAAAGTGGGTGAGAGAGTGGGGGAGACGGATGGTGACCTGTGTTCCAGTTCAAGTGCCAGAACAATTCACAGCCCACTTCCTCACAGCCCCCCAGCTTGGTTGCCCCCTGACTCCAAGGTGGAAGCTGTCCATCTGATGTTCCTAGAAATCTTTGTTTAGAGTCCTGGCTTCCGAGCTTTGAGCTGCAGAACCCTGTGGTGCCCAGAACTCCTGAAAGCAGAGGGGCCTCCAAGCCCCTAGACCACAAACTCAGCCTGAAGCCTACGTAGAGAACTATGTCTTCTCACCGTTTTGTCCGTTTTTTAAGAACCTGTGATGACATTGTGATTCATAAATGCAAATCCTTCTGAAAGGACTTGTTAGCTCATGCAGCCAATGGCCACCGTCTATTTCCTCAGTACAAGAACACTGTGCCGTACAATTTTGCAAGGAATCTGTGTGTGTGTGTGTGTGTGTGTGTGTGTGTGTGTGTGTGTGTGTTTGCTTTATAAAGTTATCCTTGACAGAGGGGTGAATGATAGATATGATAAAGCAAAATATGACTCAGAGGCTCTCAGTGGTGGGTGTAGACAGTTCCATGTACGTTTCTCCCCATGTTACTGTAAGTTTCAAATTTCCCATTAAAAAACGCTGGGGAGGCTGGGTGCAGTGGCTCATACCTGTAATCCCAACACTTTGGGAGGCCTAAGTGGGAGGATCACTGAGGCCTGGAGTTTGAGACCAGCCTGGGCAATACAGAGAGACTCCATGTCTACAAACCATTTTAAAAATCAGCCAGGCATGGTGGTGTATGCTTGCAGTCCCAGCTACTTGGGAGGCTGAGGTGGGAGGATCGCCTGAGCCCAGGAGTTTGAGGCTGCAGGGAGCCATGATTACGGCACTGCACTCCAGCCTGGTGACAGAGCCAGACCTTGTCGCAAAAAAAATAAAAAAAAAAAGGAGTGTGGAAAGCAGTCCTGCTTCTCGACTGGGAACCTGCAGCTCGCTCAGCAACCGCTCTCCCTGGGACTCTACAGTGGAGCGCCCAGGGACCCTGTAAAGGGCGCCCCTAACACTGAGCTGCAAGGAAGGGTTTGGTTAAAGGGGAAGCAGAGGTGCAGCATGCAGGGAAGAAGGAGTTAGGGCGGGACTCAGCTGTGAGAATACAGCAGGTGGAGGCCACGGCCAGCACACGAGAGGCGCTGCTCTTTCCCTAGGGAAGACAGGCGAGGGGGCAAGACCGGCAAGGGTGAGTCCGCTCCCCACTGCACGGTCCGTGGTGGACCCCATTTCGTCCCAAGGCCTGCCTCTGGGAGCTGTTCCGGTCTCCAAACCTATGCTGGGAGCGAATTCTAAGAATTGGCCAAAAGAAAAACCCTGCAAAGGCTCATGGAGTCCCAAGTCCTCGAGAGGACTGCCTCATTTCAACATCTCAGCAAGCCTGGGAGGCCGTCCTCACCATTTCATAGGTGGGGCCGGTAAGGCGCGGGAAGGTGAGGTCACTTGCTGAAGTCTCACAACGGCGCAGGAGAGCAGGGAGAGCAGGTTCCTCGAGCGAGGGAATGCTCCAGGGGTTGGGAGGGAAGGGACAGCAGCAAGGACTGCCCAGGTGCCCGGGGTCCCCGCAGCGCGGATATGCCGAGAAGGCGCGCCCGCCAAGCTGCGGCGCAGCCCACGACGTCCAGATGCGTTCGGGGCCAACTGAGGGGGTCGGGGCAGGTGAGCGCACCGCAAAGGGGCGCCCGGCAGGCGGGGGCGCGGGGGCGCTACCTGGGTCGTGGAAGGGCACCAGTGCGTAGTTGGCAATGGCCTGGCTGCGGCGGCTCAGACTGCGTTCCAGAATGCGCGAGGCGCCGTCTATCACCTGCATCAGGTCGTCCCACATGGAGCCAGTGACGTCGAAAACGAAGGCCAGGGTGGCGTCCCCCGTGGTGGGGGGCATTACCGTCCCGGGAACTCCGGCCACCGCCGCTGCCACAGAGACCACGGTCAGCAGCCGCAGGAGCGGCGCCCCGGGCATCATGCTGAGCGTGGCTCTGGCTGCGGGTGCTGCAGTGGAGGCGCAGGTTGGAGCAAGACGGCCGACTCGGTGCACACAGCGGCTGCAGGCAGTGCCTTGCTCCGTCGGGCCGCGGCCAGTGCGCGAGGGATAGGGGTGCGCGGCGGGTCCCCCTGCTGGGCGCCAGAAGCGGGTCCTAGAGCCCACCCCGTTCAGGGTCACGGGCCCGCCTCCTCCGCTCCCCCCACCGTGACTCAAACTTTCCCAGCCCCACTGTTCGCCCGTCCAGATCCGAGGTTAGGGGAGGACGCGGGGCGGAAGGCAGAAGGGAGCTGGGGCCCCGGCCAGGGCAGCGAGGGATGGGGACGCGCAGGATGCAGTGGACACCTGCGCCTGCAGCCGATGGCGCGCCACGCTGCGGGGGTGGGAGACAGGGAGGGGGAGGCGCAACGGCCCCAATCTCCCTCCAACCCCAACTCCCCGCACCTCTGCCTGGCCAAAGCGGACCCTGGCTTCTGCAGCTCCCTCCACCCAGTGCTGCGACCACTCCCCTACACCCCCACCCACCAACACACACACAAACTCCGCCATGCCTTTTCCTTCTGCTGGGTGGGCTCTGTGCTTCCCGGTTATTGCAAGCACTACTATTATTATAATCAACAAGAAGTCTTGTTGTTAACCATGTTCTAATCATGTTCAGTTATTTGCTTGAAGACTGGCTGCAACCCTAGAATGAAATACTAACCCTAAACCCATTTTACAGAGCAGCAAACTGAGGCTCAGAGAGGTGAAGGCATTTGCCCCAGGTCACTCAGTTCTCAAACAAAGAAGGCAAGATCAGAGGCCAGATCTAGAAAGACTCCAAAGGCCCAGGGCTCTGCTGCCTCCCTTGTGTTAAAAGACATTGTCACATGGTCGCCTGGTGACTCCAGATGATTAGGGCTACCCTCCTGCCCATCCACCTCCCCGGCCCCATGGGCTGCATGTGGGGTTGCTGGCTCCCGCCTGAGGTGCTGTCTGGGACTGGGTTCTGCCTGGGGCTGGCTTCAGCCTCCTGTTCCGCGGCAGATCCAGATGGGCTCAGGCATGGCTGCTTATCTCAGGCTGTGCTCTCGGGACCTGTTTCTAGGCCTCTCTCCCCGCTGGCCTACGAGCCACTTGAGGGCAGGGCTAAGCCTTGGTCTACATTGGATGAGCCCCCAGTTCCCATCCCAGATCCAAGCACATGGTGGGGAGTTACTAATGTTGGCTGAATAAATAAACAGCAGCTTTTGTGGATATGCCTGGTTTTGAGTCATGTGTGAGAAGGTAGCTAACCCCTCAATCCCTCCTCCGAGAACACCATGCGCCCAGAGACATGGCTGAGGGCTCTGGGTCTGTGAGTGATGGTGGGGGGTGGAAGCACTTTCTTGAGCCCTGTCCCTGCAGAGTCCTCAGCCAGGAAGCCCCCCACCCTATGCTTCTCCTTCCCCCTTCGGTCTCAGCTCAGACCCACCTCTGAGGCTGCTTCTGAACCCTTGCCCTGCAACCCACATTTCTCTGAGCCCTGTCCTGGCTCTGACCACACCGTATGGCCCACGTCATATCTGTGGACCTGCCCCTTCCACTCTGGCTGTGAGTTCTATGGCAGAGATCCTGCACCTGGCCATGGTAGGTGCCCAAGGAAGGTTTGCCACCTGAATGGGCCAGCAGGCATCAGAGAAGCTTGGCAGCTGGGCGTTGGCCACGGTGGGAGGCAGCAGACATCCCCAGGGACTCCATTCTAGCCCAGAGCTGGGGTCCTAGGGAAATGGTCTCCTACAGAGCTACCAGTCTCGTGGAATATAGTGCAGCCAGATGCCCAGACCCAGCAAGGGAGTGGAACTTGCAACCAAGTTCACAGGAAGTTGAGTCACCTGCACTTCTTAATGCTGGCTCTTTAAATCTCCCTGGGCTAAGTCTGTGATTACCCCCAGAGTCTGGGCAGGGCTGGGCCAGCTGTTGGAGAGAGAAGAGAGGCCCCAGCTGTGGGAAGGCAAAAGCCAACAGGAGCCAGGAACCAAGCAGGACTCACAAATGGTGACATTTCAGGCACAGTGCAGGGAACATCTGGAGACAAAGGTCCTTCGGTCATTCACACCACAAACATTTGCTGAGCCCAAGCTGCGGTCAGGCACTCTGCTAGGCAGTGAGAGCAGCAGCGGGGGATGGGGGGATGAAGATGGAGAAGACATGCTTCCCACCCTGGGGAGAAGAGACATGTAAACAAATAATTCTAAGTCAATGAGATAAGTGCTAATAGAAGAATTACCAAGCACTCTGGGAGCTCAGAGGAAAGAGTGGCTGAGCCTAAGAGGTCAGAGAAGGCCACAGAATGAGCCTGAGAAGTCTTAAGGAACAAGCAGGGAAGGGTATTTGAGGAGCAGGAAGAGCACGTGCGAAGGCAGGGAGATCTGAAACACCCATCGACAGGTAGCCCTGCGTAACCAGTCAGGGGATGTGGAGCTGAGAACACAGACCAGATCACAAAGGACCTCTGTTATCTTGGAAATGCACTTGGGGTTTTTCTGAGGACACTGGGGAGCTACTGAAGAATGCAGGCCAGGAAGCCACCTGATTTGATGTGCATTTCAGAGAGGTCACAGCATAGAAGTTCAGAGGGTGGACCTTGTAGATCTCAGGAAGCCACAAATCTACTCATCAAGGATGTAAGGGCAGAGCTGGCCCCAAAGAAAAAAAGCAAGATGGCTCTCCCCGAGTTGGTCACCAGGGGCAAAAGGAATCATTCATTTGCATCCTGAAGCAGCCTGGCTACTTGGAGCAAGGCCCTCCCCTCCTGGAAGCTTGGTCTCTTCATTCATAAAATGATTTTGAGATGGAAGGGAGCTAACAAGATAACCTGTGATGTTTCTTGCAGCCTTATCACTCTGGAACCACCACCCTGGTCCCTCAGAGACAGAGGAAGGATGCGAGGGGAAGTCTAGGCTCATCTTGGCACTGCTTCCCCCAACTGCCAGGGAAGAGAGGCTTGAACAGGCACCTGTCGTCTGTCTGTCGTAGCTCCATCAAAGACTAATGTCTGACCTGACCCCAGTGCCCATCCAGGATGGCTGGAGGTGCTGCCCCAAGCACCATCCCCTGAGTTCCCAGGACTTCCCAAGAATGTAAACATGGTCACATAACAAAAGTGAGCAAGGCTGCAGTGCAGCAGGTCCAGAGAAAACATAACTGCACCTCATCAATCAATTTCCATCCCACCACCTTGCCTTGACTGCAGGCTGCCTGGGAACCCCACACTTTTCCTCTATTTCCAGAAGAAGCGGTCTCAGTGGAGTTGTTTCCTAACATAGCACATTTGTTGTAGACAGCTATAGAGAGCAAACATATGCTGTGGGCCATCCACTTAAAGGAAACAGGCATGGGTATTGCTCAGCCTGCCGAGTTCAGCCCTGGCTCATGAACCCAGGTCTGTGCACTGTGTCTGCACTGGGGATCCATGTGCAGAGGGGCCACATCAAAACCCTGGACTCTGAATACATGGCCAGTGCACGCAAAATGACTCCTCCTTACCAATCGCCTTTCCTTACTCTTCTCTATTCCCTGCTCCCTAAATGCCTGAAGTTTTTTTTTTTTTTTTTTTTTTTTTTTTGAGACGGAGTCTCGCTCTGTCACCCAGGCTGGAGTGCAGTGGCGCGATCTCGGCTCACTGCAAGCTCCACCTCCCGGGTTCACGCCATTCTCCCGCCTCAGCCTCCGAGTAGCTGGGACTACAGGCGCCCGCCACCACGCCCGGCTAGTTTTTTGTATTTTTAGTAGAGACGGGGTTTCACCATGTTAGCCAGGATGGTCTCGATCTCCTGACCTCGTGATCCACCCTCCTCGGCCTCCCAAAGTGCTGGGATTACAGGCTTGAGCCACCGCGCCCGGCCGCCTTCTAGTCTTGACGACATTAAATCTGTGATTCTAGGCTGGGCGCGGTGACTCATGCCTGTAATCCCAGCACTTTGGGAGGCTGAGGTGGGCGGACGACCTGAGGTCAGGAGTTCGAGACCAGCCTGGCCAACATGGTGAAACTCTGTCTCTACTAAAATGCAAAAATGGTGGCAGGCATCCATAATCCCAGCTTCTGGGGAGGCTGAGGCAGGAGAATTGCTTCAACCTGGAAGACAGAGGTTGCAGTGAGCCAAGATCGCACCACTGTACTCCAGCCTGGGTGACAAAGCGAGACTCCATCTCAAAGAGTAAAAATAAATAAATCTGTAATTCTAACATCCCCCACTCACTTCATCTCACCCCAGCCCTCATCCTTGGAGAATCTTCTCTGTTCCTCTGAGACAGTAAAAATACTAAGGGTGGAGATGATTGGCCAGAGCCTCAAGGAAGGCCAGACCCTATACTGACCCCTTCCTCATGCACTCCCTCAACAACCTCAAATGTCAGTATCTCCTCTTCATGGAACAGATGAGACAACTGAGGCTCTGAGAGGTGAATTCCTGTGTCTGGGGTGGGCTGTGTGTTGGCATGTGCCTTCCCACAAATCCTGTGACCCACCCCACCATTCCATGCTGCCCCAGAGACACGAGGCAATGATTTGTTCAGGAATCCCAGCAAGCAGAACTTCTTCTAGAACTAACCAGGAGCTTGGTGTCTTCCTCAGACACGCTTAGTCCTCTCGAGCAATTCCCCACCCTGGACTCAGACTCAAGCTTCAGACATTAAGCACCTTTGAAAGGCTGGAAAGTCACAGCCTACTCATATGTCACCAGAAGGCCTGGGCAAAAAGAGGAGGCAGAGAAATAACCCTGGGAATAAAGCAGAGGTTCTGCCCTCCCGGGGCCTGAGAATTAAAAAGTTTCAAATCCTTGTTTTGTTCCTCTAGGAAAAATTAAAGAATTCAGTAGGGGCCTGGAAAACAAGGCTAGCAGGAAGTCGGAGAAACTCACAAACAACTGGAAGGTGAAGCTACCGGGGATGGGCTACAGGAGCCAAGAAGTTAGAATCTGCAAGCCTGCGCCGAGTGCTCCAGGCAGCCAACACTAGATGATTTACTGCTGAATCCAGCCCTCTATGGACCAGCCTCCAAGTCACGTGGACCGTAAGGAATGGTTTGAGACCAACCCAAGAAATATTTA